AAAGCAATCTTAAGAGGAAAGGTGCCAAAGAATGTCCGTCAATTAATTGTCCAAGAGGAGGAGAGATCCCTTGCATGGGCTTTGTCAGATTCTTCACTTCCTCAGAATGACTTTTCTTCCTTTGGTTAGCTCGACTGCTTCTTGAAAGCCAACAATACCCAGCTCAGAGAAAAGGTTTTGCAGAACGCAATAGAGAGCAGCATCACAAGTGTAGGCGTGTGAGTCTGGCCATGGAGCCACGTCTTCCTGGCAGTATCTCCTTTCTGCCTTGCATGTTCTGGGAGGTGCTTTTTCTCAATTTTTTTTTTGTTCAGTTGTCACTTTAATGGGTGTACTGTATTTTGTATTTACACTTCTTTGCTAAATAGCTGAAAGTCTTAGATCCATTTTTATACCTGATGTATCATTGGAAGGTTCAAAGCGATTAAAAGCTATTTGGCCAGGTGCATACCCTGGTGATTATTGAAAAATAACGCATTTTTGCTAAGCAATTGTAATTTAGTGAGGAATGTAATCATCTCTGTGGATAGGAGTAAAAAACCCCATCTTTGAGGTAATGGGTCCATGAATTGCTGAGTGTGTGTGTGTGCTCGATCGGTGCAGAGCAGTGGCGATTGTGGTGTGGTGTCTTCTTGTGCGCTGTCAACTGTAGCAGAGTGTTAATTAAGAACACTGTAACCTGCAACTCCAATTATTAGTATTGTCTGTTTAGCTGGACAGGAGCAGTGCCTTGCTTTAGTTACTCTGAAAGCTTCAATAAGAGTGGTAAGATTAATGTTTTATTTTCACATCTGCTCATGAGACAGTTTAAAAATCCTGAAGTTTAAAATGCAATAGAATGTAAACAAAAGGGCTTCTGCTCATTTACATGTTAGCCAGATTTGCTAACTGATTGCTGTTTGAACCTAATCTACCACCTCCTGCCGCATTAGCTACAACAAACATTACATTTACATACTGATTTCTTATTTTGTTTTAATGTAAATAATCCGTAATTACAGTAAATTTGGACTTCTGTTGACATGAGCTTGTATAAATCTGTAAGTTTAAAATGGAAATGTTAATTACATTGTGTCATACCTATTTATATAAAATTCAGAGATTTTGGGGGAAATCTCCACGTGACTGAGAAAGATACTGCCTAATGGGAAATACTGGCTGTATTTTGTAAAAAGTCACAGAACTGAAATGAAAAGGAGCATTTGCTAATCGTTGATTAAGGATATACTTCTCATTTCAAAGCTTAGAATATTGCTAAGATTTCAAAGCAAAATGCTATTAAAAAGCAAAGTATTGCATGAGAAATTAAAGCCTTAAGGCAGTCACTTCACAATAGATAGAACCAATCTATTTTATGTATTGTTACTGAATGATAGAAAAGCAGTAAAGCTGGAAGATTAAAATATAATAAATATCAACACTAAGACCATCTTGCTTCACCATTGCATAGATTGATTGAACAGTTGCTGTCCCCTAAGATTAGCATTATTTGCAGTTATGTTTTATTTTTATTTTGCTATATATAGTTTCTGTTAATTTATTAGACTTATGATTTATAATTTGGGCTGTATTGGAATTTGGATGAAGTAGCTAGTGAACAAACTCTTTCCAGACTCCTAATCAAGTTCTAATATTTTAAGTGAAAAAAAAAATTCTCTCAACTTACATTACTTAAAATTTAAATTTCTGAGAGGAGCGTTTTTGTCTGAGGGTGAAGCCTGGTCCATGACTGAGGTTTCTGTGCATTGTGGTAATGCCCATAACTATATAAGCAATCCGAACGAAACCCTAAACTGGTCCCAGTCTCTCTTGCCGCAACTGATCTGAGCGATGACTGTGCTCAGGTCTATTTATTTTATCTATTCTTGAAGTTCTCTGGGTGTAGGTGGAGTTTCTCTAATGGTTCCCCAAACCACCATCAAGTTCCCTTGCCTCCTGTCCCAAATAGTGACCGTACAGTCATTCCGCTGAGGGGGAGAAACGTGCCAGCAGTCTGTAACCTCAGCAAAATGCTTTGGGAAGCTCGGGTTTGCAGTAAGGGGGAAGTGGTGCTGATAAGAGTGGCCTACTTTAATCCTGTTTCTAGAATTTGGTTTTCTTTTCCCACTAATTAATTCTCAGATTAATTAATTTCTGTTAGCACTGATGGAAAAAAAAAAGTCTCGACTGTAATAGGACCTGGGGTTTGGTCCTGATTTTTTCTTTATTTTTTATTTCTTTTAATGCTGATATTTCATTTGGAAGATTGTAGCCAACTGATAACACATACAGAAAAAGCAAAACAAATGCTGAAGCCAAAATTTTAGGAATGTTCATTATATTCAAAGTCAATCTCCTCAATACAGTTCTGTGCAGCTAAAAAGAAATAAAAGTAAGCTTCAGCTTACTGGCAATGAGAATGTTCCTGTACATACACTTTACATTTGGTCATAGCCTTAATAGCTGAAAATACAATTTGAAGACAAGATATGTTTTGGAAGCAGACTTCTGTCGGCATAAATAATTTGGGGTAATCTACATCCCTAGCTGCTGGAGGAAATTAATCTGGGAGGGGACTGGCATCACTGGTTGTCCAACTACATCTTCAGCTCATCCCCGTTCCCCAGAGGCGCGTGGGGACGCGTAGGGGGTCGCTGACGCAACCTGCCCATTGGATGTGCCATCAGGTCCTCCTCCCGGTGACTTTCTCATGTTGGACGGTCCAGGTCTTGCAGCGGCTGTCAGACCCCATAAAATTTTGATACAAGAGCTCAAAGGATTGGGTCAGTTGACTGCTGTCTTTCTGCGTAAGCAGAATCAAGTAATATTCCTCATTGTATTATTTTTTTTTCTGAAGAAAAGGTGAATAATTAACCATGCACTTCAATTACTAAGGCTTTAAAACCAATTTTTTCCTTTTTTTCTTTAATTATTTTTTATTTTTAGCCAGCTTGATTTATCAGCCTGTCCTTCGACTGTATTTGGCTGTCAGTAGGTACTGATAATTTGCTTGTTAAGAGCATTTGGCTTACGTTGTTTAGAAATGCAAAAAGTAGATATATTGAAATTACTTCAAAATTTGAGGCTTTCATTTAAATTAACTATGTTTGAAGAGTATTTTTTCCCATTCTAAATATTCCCTGCTATGCAGGTGAAATAGAGAAGTGGAAAACCTCTTTCTACAAACAGATTTTTTTTATTAACATACTGTATTTTGGATAGTACTGAAGCATGTCTCATGCATAGTGTGAGAGACTGAGGGTTCGGTCGAACGAGCCAGTTTCATTCTATGTTTACATCAATTACAGAAAGAAAACGTGAGTCACGCTATCAGTTAGCATCTACAGATTTTGAAATAGCTCTAACAGAGCCTTGTGTGAGTCTGTATGGAATCCAGAGCCATTCATGTACACTGTAATTAATGTTTTCGGAGCAGTTAAATATGTCATTCGCCTCCAGTATTTGCTGAAAACAAATACAAAAATCAGAATCCGAAAGAGCACAGCAGGATATTTTGCTTGCTGCTGAACATTTGCCAAAAGGAAACGTGGTTACGGCAATGCTAAACTTACTGTTAACAATAAGATTGGAATTACCTTTGAAAATAGGTATGCGACTTTTCAGGAGTCTTTTTTTTTTCGTCTTTTAAAGGGCTGTTAGGTATTTAAATAGTTTTAGATTTTTTTAACAAAATTTTTGTGACAAGTGCAGCTAACTTCATATTTGGCGTAGATGACTTCAAGTTACATTTGTAGTGTCTCTCATACGCTTGATTATACCTGCATTGACAATGACTTTTAAGTTTATCTTCCTATTGGGGAACAGCGCCTTGAGATTTTTGTTTTGTAGTATGTGCTTATTTAAGACATCACAAAATCCAAATTAAGTTGCTGAGTGAAGATATTTTTGTAAGGTAATTTTTCTGGAGATGTTGAAGCAAACGGTGCATCTCTCCCTAAAGCACCCAGTGAGTATTGCATGGGCTCCTTGCCGTCGGAGCAGCCGATCAGTAATTGCAGTAGAAGTTGAAACTAACACCATGTGAAGGAAAAAATCCCAGACTCTCATTCTTTTAAGAGCATGTGGTAAGAAAAAATAAAAAAGAAAAAATAATCAAATGAGCCCGGTTTAGTTCCGTTTGCTGTTGAATGGGCCAAGTCTGCATAAATATTGTGTAGAGAGCTGAGCTGTGTTACGGTGTTGCTGCAGTTTTGTAGCCTACAGAACACTGTATGCAGCTGTAATTGCTGTGTCTGTAACAGAAGTCCTGCTGCATAATTTTGTACCTAATTAAGCAAACAAGGATGCCTTTTTAACGTCCAGATGTTTTGTTACCAGGAAAATCACGAAAAAAATAAATAATTCAAGTTTGTGACAACGCGAACATATAGTTGGCCTGCTTAATCTGTACCTTAAGATTACTATTTTTATTTCCTATGATTAAAGATGTTTTTAACATACATTTAGAACAATTTTCTAAATGCTTAATAGCCACATGAGAAATTTTTGCTGTGGTTAGTTTTCCAGTTCTAATTAGCTGAGTTTATGTGCTTTGAATGAAACTAAGTGGAAGAATTTCCGTTTGGTTTATGCTTCAGGTAACCCTCCAGAAGCAAGAGCATGCTTTGCCTTGTTCTACTCACCATCAGTCTTTAATGTGCATTGTAGCTTGATATTTTGTCTGGTCGTCAATATGCTTCCAAGTCTGATATTAATGGCATTATGAGTGCTAAACATACCTGATGTTTGTGAAGATAATGCGACTCTCAATTTTGAGAATACTTGACGTTGGAAGAGCTTTAAAGGCTGCAGTCACCTTATTAAGGAAGGAGTTCAGGAATGGCCTTTGGTCATTCTCAGCATGCTTCCTTGCATTTAAGAGTGAAAAGCGAGATGATAATGTTGTGCCTGGACTTGTCCATGTAGAGTTTAGGGTACCCTGGGGTTTTTGCATCTAACTGTAAAACAAGCTATAACATGCTTATCCCCCAATTTTCTTGTTTTTCTTTCAACCATTTCAGGGCTCTGCAGGAGTCATTAAATCAAAACTTCATGCTGATTGTCACCCATCGAGAAGTCCAGCGGGAGTACAACCTCAACTTCTCAGGAAGCAGTACCATTCAGGAGGTGAGTGCGGTTTCACAGCGGAAGAATAAATGTAGCTCATTATAGCTAATGCCAGCCCTGTTAAAGAGGGTTTCCATGGTCTTGATGGATATTCCTTTATTTCTGTAATTTGATTGGGTTTTTTTTCGGTTTGATCAACTGGATCATCGAGATTGCTGTAATTTGATTAAACATCTTGACCTAAAAAAGGTTTTCTGTTATACTGAAAAGGTGTTTCTTTTTGCACTGTAGTAACAAAATACACAAATACTGAATTATTCTAGAGTGTTGAGGAAAGGCAATTATTCCAGTTACACTTTAAGCCCTTTGACTATCCCTCTGTCTTCCCTTCTTTTAATCAGCTCCATCTCCATTTTGTAGGCACCTCTGCCGTTACTAGTTGCTGTCGTAGTGCTGTAATTTTTACTGCCTTAGTAGCCAAACGGTTTTGTCTATAATGGACGTCACTGCTGTTCGGTCGAATGGCCAGCAAGGGGTGATATTGTAGAGAGCTTCGTCAGAGTTAAGTCCTATAGGAACAAATATCTCTAATAAACTCTCTGAATTTAGAGCAAGCAGTCCAGCAGTCCTTGCGTATTTTTCAAACTCCTTTCTAAAGCCAAGGGTTGTTGTCTTGAGCTCCACGGTGTGTCTAATGCCAGATGTTTTGGATGTTATTTTCCACATAACCCACTAACTTCTGGAAGTATGACAAGCAATCTACAAATGTGAATTTCAGAATTCATGTTACAAAATTTTAAGATTAAATGTTTTCTTTTCAAATTAAATGTATGTTTGCTGTTGGTCGGACACTTCTTTCAGGCTTTTAGAGTTGAACAGATTTTACCCAAGTTCTTCATGTCACATGCTAACGTTGTAGACAGAATTATTTTAAGTTCCATGATGTTAGCTATAGGAGCAGTTTCTCCTACAGCAATGAAAAATGATCATTAGTTGTTTCCATTGTGAATATTTTTTTATTTTTTTTTTTAATTTTTGATTTTTTTTTAATTTTTAATTTTTTTAATTTTTTTTTAATTTTTGATTTTTTTTTTAATAACATAAGCCAACATACTTGCATCAGTTTCCTTTTTGAGGGGCCAGGCTCTAACTCTTTACAATTTTAAAATAGTTTGAATATTTATGGAAATAAATGATCAGAATATTTGGTTTTAAATTTAAAATTGTGAGATTCTAAAAAACCCCATATACTCACGTATGGTCTGTATTTATCTATGCTATGCCAATTACTACTTCACGGGTGAGTCTTATGCAGTTTAAAGGAACCAGAAAGCTGTGACCGTGCATGGGAATCCAGGCTGCTTTTACATGCACTGAGGTTTTCTTGATTGTGTAGTGGCAGGTTACAGTCAACATGCTAATATATAAAATTGATGTAATTTATGATTTTCCCCATTAAACAACCAAAACAAACAAAACCACCCTACTGCCGCAGAACCGGCAGGAGCATCCAACCTTTCTTTGCCTTTCTGCCTTGTATCTGAGTATGACATCCACTAGAGTTTATAAAATTAGGAAGAGCAATTCAGAGGCTAAAATGAAAAGAGAACTCTGAAGCTTCTTGTGCAGCTGATGCTGAACAGGTGAATTTGTGTCTGTCAGTCTTGTGGAAATCACTGGGGGTTGGGCTGAGGTACATTTGCCTAATTATAGAAAACAAGTAGTGTTTTGTATGTTAAATCTCTAATGGCTTTTTAATTATTTTTTAAAATTATTTTGTTTTAGCATGAAGTGAGCATTGTAACAAAAGACTGATGAATCTAATTTGTGCGATTTGGATGAATCAGTGATATTTTTCTTTCTTTTCTTTCCCTTGTCTCTCCTCTCCAGGGAGACTTCCCCCCCCCCCCCCCCTCCCTCTCTTTTTCACATTTTAACAAATTAATAGTTTACTTTCCTTCGAGTATATCTTTGTCATCATAGAAAAGCTCTGTGTGAGTTGCAGTTACCAACCACAAGAGGGCAGGAAGGACTATTCAATTATTACCTAAAAATGCCGTTCAGTGTTTTCAAATTAGCTTCTGGTATATTAACAAAAAGGAGTATAATGGCCAAGTTATTGTTTGATTTACAGATAATTGGCATATTGCAGGGAGGAGACTTAATTTCACCCTTTTAAATTAAACAGGGAGATTTAAAAAGACATAAAATATTCATTAATGTTCAGTGATTATAAAGCAGTGGCATATATTTATTCTGCCTTTATTACTGTTTCGATGGGAAAATACTGCAAATATTTCAGAAATCGACTTGGCCATACTGACAAGTTGAAATGTTTAAGCAGTGTTAATGCAATCTACTCACACGTTATATCCTATGCAGAAAGATTCAAAATGACTACATCAATTATTAAAAGAAATATTTAAAATTCTATAAATGTTCTACTGCTTGCCACAGTTGGGTGCAACTGTCTCTCCAGGGCTAGTTTAGTTTTTTTGTTGTTATTGGTACTACGAATTTTAAGGAATGAACGTTTTTTCCAAGTATCTACAGAAAAAACCCCAACCCCCTAAAAATACCCTACA